CAAACCCCCTGATCGCCCTGCAGCTCTGTGTGTGACAGGGGGCAGGGCCACAACCTCCCTATCGGCCCTGCTCTGTGCCTGATAGGGGGTGTGCCCCAACACCCCCAACTCACGGGCCCTGCTCTGTGTGTGATGGGGTAGAGCCATAACCTCCCGCTCGGCCCTGCCCTGAGTGTGAGAGTGGCGGCGCCCCAACCCCCTGATTGGCCCTGCTCTGTGCATGACAGGGTGGCGCCGCAACCTCCCCATCGACCCTGCCTTGACAGGGGGCGGTGCCCCAACCCCCCAATCGGCCCTACCCTGAGCGTGACTGAGGGTGGCATCGCAATCTCCCAATCTGCCCTGCTCTGTGCATGACAGGGGAAGGTGCCCCAACTCCCCAATCGGCTGCACCTAGGGATTGGGCCTGCCCTCTGCCACCCGGGAGCAGGCCTAAGCCAGCAGGTCGTTATCTCCCGAGGGGTCCCAGACTGCGAGAGGGCACAGGCCGGGCTGAGGGACCCCCCCTTCCCCCGAGTGCACAAATTTTTGTTCACCGGGCCTCTAGTTATTTTAATAAGCTAAATCCTTTGAGTTCTCATTCCCTCTTCTAGCCATTGTTTCTGAATTAGACTCCCTCAAGGAATAGAATACTGAGGATTGGGGAAATTCATTAATGATGATTTTAGATTCACCTATGTGCCTGTTCCCTCTTTTTAACAAATGTAAGATGCTGAGTATAAGATGCACCATTGTTTTATATTTTATGCTTATATTTAAGAAAAAGAGCTACAAAATAAACTATTGCAGTGCCTTAGAGCTATTTTGATTTACTTAAACATTTTTTAAAGTTGAATATTACTTTTATACAAACCAAAAAGAGAAATGCAAGCAGAATAAACTCGTATGGTATTTCTAAATATTTTTTCACATTCAGAATCCTGTTGTAATCTGGTCAGCAGGTGGGAAGATGCAGTCCTGTTTCTGAGATATAAACGTTCAGAAAAAGAATGTGTACGTTAGAATCCATGAAATATGAAATTTATTTCTTAGACTCCAGGAATATTGGTTAATGGTTATCTCCAAGCTAAATTAATAATAATACCTCACAATTTGTAAAATACTTTCACATTAGTTACATCCTTTGATAATCATAACATCTGTGTAAAGTTGGTAGGAACTTTCCTCTTTAGAGATCAGAGAACTAACTGAGCCTTTGAAAACTTTGGTACATTTGTCCAAGGCCACACAGCTAGAAAACACAGTATCAGGAGTTGATCTATTTGCTCTAAGCCACTTAACCTTTTCTAGTAATATTGAAAAGTACAGGAGCAAATTAAACTTTTTTTAACTAACTTCTTTAATATAAGGCAGTGGTTCCCAACCTTCTGGCCCTTTAAATACAGTTCCTCATGTTGTGACCCAATCATAAAATTATTTTCGTTGCTACTCCATAAGTGTAATGTTGCTACTGTTATGAATCGTAATGTAAATATCTGATATGCAGGCTGGTCTTAGGCGACTCCTGTGAAAGGGTCATTTGACTGCCAATGGGGTCGCGACCCACAGGTTGAGAACCGCTGATGTAAGGGCATTAAAGTTCAAAAACAAAACTCAGTGTTGACTGAAATACATGAATGAGTACATGAACTACAGCTATGGTCTTTTTTTAAATATTTATTTTATTATTTTTTTTAATTTTCTTTATTGATTAAGGTATTACATATGTGTCCCTATCCCCTCCCCACCCATCCCCTCACCCCCCTGATGTCTATATTCATTGGTTATGCTTATATGCATGTGTACAAGTCCTTTGGTTGATCTCTCCCTCTTCCCCCCAACTTCCCCTGCCTTCCCAGCAGATGAGTGGATTAAAAAACTGTGGTATAGCTATGGGTCTTTTAAAACAAATCATCTGCATAAAAAGTATTATGCTAATAATCTCTTGATTATTTGAGACTGAACTAATAAACTGTTGACTTTTTTCCTTTTCAAATTAGACTCTAAAGTGTCTTTCATGTTTTTGTAGCTCCTAACATCAAGTGCTGTTCACAAGTGGGGTACTGAAATTCATGAAGGGATCTACAACATGTTGATGCTCTTAATAGAACTGGTTGCAGAGAGAATAAAACAAGATCCAATTCCCATTGGTCTCCTGGGTGTGCTTACAATGGTATAGTATCTCCAAAATATGAAGTGCTTTGTTTTATATTTTGTTTAACATACCTACTATCCAATGACTTGTACTTAATGAGTGACAATATCATCGTTAAAGATATTAACTTAGCTGTTAGGATCCTTGCTTTTTATTTTGAAAGCAGAGCAAACATTCTGTTTTCACTTTTAAAGAAATTCCTTTCTAATTTTAGTAGTTTTTTTCAGTTCTTAGAATGATTAAATATCTTTCCTTATGTCTCCCTGGTTATTTACGGCATAAATACTTTCACATAGGGTGTTCGTGTAGTTTGCTCTCTGGCCTTTTTCCCTGACCAGCAATAGTAGTGTATGAAGAAGGAATGCTCTTGTTTTCCCTCCTAACTTCTGTCTTCACTGCCTTTCTGCTCAGCTCTGCCTGTGGCAGCCCTAGGATATCTTGAACATTGATATCCCCTTGCTTGAATCAGCCTGTTACCTCCTTCTCTTCCCTCACAGCAAATGTTGAACAGGACAGGAGAACACCACTTTAGTCATTTGTTCCTCTGCATCAGCTAAAGAGTATGCTTTGTGAGGATACTTGTAAGATTCCATTAATAAAGGAGCCCAAGGCTGTATTTTTATCTTTTCTAATGCTAATATGTGTTGTTATAGAAATAAATAATAATAATGTTTCTATGTTCTCTTTGAATCTAGGCTTTCAATCCTGATAATGAATACCATTTTAAAAACAGAATGAAAGTGTCTCAAAGGAATTGGGCAGAAGTGTTTGGAGAGGGAAATATGTTTGCTATCTCACCTGTATCTACTTTCCAAAAGGTAAACATAATTTTGTTTCATCTTTTATTGAGAAATGTATTGAAAAAGGTTTCTGTACTGTAAAAATAACAGTTTACACAGAAGAGTTAAAACAGTCTATGAAAAATGACAGATATTCCGTATGACTCACAAAATTGCTGACCTTTCTTTTTTTTTTAGATATTCTATATTTTTCCATAGATGTTAACTAACATCATGAAGAATTTTATGGACTTGAAGTGATGTTGAGTGAAATAAGAAATGACTGCATAACATCAGTGCCCTGTTTACTGAATTATCAGAACCCCAGTTTAATAGCTGCCCCAGTTCCTTATTTGAAATCATTTGAATTGACTAATTATACCTAGAAAAAATAATTTAGTAGTTTCATGTATAATTTTCTTTTAAACTCCATAAGCATTAACAGTTTTGTTTTCAAGTACAGAACCAGTATCTTTATATCTTCCAAGTCCTACTATGTGTGAATAGCGTTATATCCACAAGAAGAACATAATTTAAACAATCCCTTGATCAAACAACTGGTTGTTAAGAAACAGTTGAAAGAAGTCAAGTTAGTAGATAAAAACTTGTCCATTGCTTTAGCAGAATAGAGGTTCTTTATCAGAAGTAGAGGTTCGGAAGTAAATGTTCAATCATTTATTGATCATATACTGTGTCTGACATTATTCTATGTTTTGGAGATATAAATTAAAAGGCCATTTTTCATAATATAAGGAGTAATAAAACATGATTCATAACTTAAAGCATAGTGGAAGAAATACGAAAACAAAATTACTATATAACTAACAATAGGTACAGTTATAATACAGACTTAGAGACTCCTAAAATTATATATAGTTATGTCAGAGCCTTTCAAAATATTTTTCAGATTTTAATACATGTTTATCCAGTATTTTTAGAATAAAAGAAATATAAGAGTTCATCGGAACTTTTTATATTGCCATCTCAATTTCTATTTTCTTTTCTCATAGGAACCTCATGGATGGGTTGTGGATTTGGTAAACAAGGTATACAACTTTTATTGACTTACTTTTCATGTTCTAATAAAATTTCCTGGAATTTAGTATATTAAGTAGATGATAACTCGAGAGAATAATCAGAATTTTTTCCTAGGGAGACAGGTTTTATAGTCCCTTCCTCTTTTTTATGCATGATGTTTATCCAGGTGGACACCAGCCTTAGGACTCAGCACATCTCCTGCAGTGAGTGTGTCACAGGGGCATAGAGTGCATTGATAGAGTAGAACATTAGCCTTAATTCCTTGCTTAAAATATTAATGTGTGGCATTTTAAAATGAACTTGTGCCTTCTTTCCAGTTTGGAGAATTGGGTGGATTTGCAGCAATTCAAGCTAAGCTCCGTTCAGAAGATATAGAACTTGGGGTAAGTTAAGCCCCTACATGTGCCTGATGTGGAAGTTCACTTTATATTTGTGTTGTTATGTAACCAAGGGACATGACCTGGACACATAAATTAAATGTTACAGTATAATATAGTCTTTACAGAGCCAGCTTCCATGGTTTTGATAACCATAGAAATGCTTACTCTTATTCATAACAACCAAATTTGAATATAGGGTGTTATTTCATTAATTGCCCTTTACATATGGTATTTTTCTCTTAATTTGTGCTGGCTACATGCAATTTTCTTGTTATTTAAGGACAATTGGTATATGTGGCAACTATTTTGTGTACATAACAATTTTATGCCTCAGTTAAATCAATTTATTTCATAGAATCAGGCACAAATAAAATACTTTAAGGTTGTATAGTAAGCTTTTTGGTGTTATAGCGATGCATAGATAACAGAGGGCTGTAAAAGGAGCTGAGAATCATCCCTCGGGTGCAACACCATTATCTTTTCATGTCAACTTCATTTTCTCAAAAAAAATTTAACCTTGTGGTTAGGGAAATAATTTAATCTTTAATTTTGCACAGACTGCTGACCTGTTCATAGCTGAGAGCACTTTATTCTGTTCTCTAGGTAATTAGTCATTCAATTAAAAACAACTTATGTAGCCCTGGCCAGTTTTGCTCAGTGGTTAGAGGGTCACAGATTCGATTCCTAGTCAAGGGCACGTACCTTGGTTATGGGTTCCCTAGCCCCTGTAGGGGTTTGTGAGGGAGGCATCTAATTGATGTCTCTCTCTCACACATCGATGTTTTCCTTTCTCTCTGTCCTCCTCTCCCCTCCTTTCCACTCTCTCTGAAAATCAATGGAAAAAATATCCTCAGATGAGGATTAAAAAAACAAACACTTATGTACTTTCCATGTATAAGACACTGTGCTAGCTACTGTAAATAGATCAGAGCAGAAAATTATATGTAAAATTATATGCCTAAGTGATGCAAATTGTGGTTAGAGTAACAATTATTTCTGTGGGACCATGACTAATCTTTGATGAGGGACATAGCAGTCAAGGAAAAAGACTGATGTTATGGTTGGTAATAGACTGACCCTTTCTTGCCACGCACTGTTTGTCCTTAAAGATCAGATGTCTGCCAGATCATAAGTACTTCCACTGACCCTGATCAGGAAGCCTCTTCCACCTTCTCTGAGCATTAGCTAGGTTGTTGGGCTGTAGTTTTATCCCCACTGAATAAAGTATGTTAGAAATGCCTGTTGATCAGGAAGATAATAGGTAGTGATTTTAAAAAGCAAAAATAAAACAGAAACCTATTAAGATAGAGGGTTTTATTCAGCTGATATCAGAAATTTAACTTCATTTTTTTAAAAAGGTTAACACAGCCCTGGCTGGCATGGCTCAATTGGTTGGAGCTTTGTCCTGTACACTGAAAGGTCTCAGGTTTGATTCCCGGTCAGGACACATATTCAGGTTGTGTGTTCCATCCCCAGTTGGGGCATGTGCAGGAGGCAGCCAGTGTTTCTCTTCTTCCCTTCCCCTTTCTCTTTCC